GAATAATGTCTTTCATCGTCTATTAAAGCCTATATAAAACAAAGGAAAAAAGAAAAGATAATATACGCGTCAATTCAAATTCGAGACTCTATGTCGAGAACTTAAGGTTTGACGAAGTAAAAAGTTATGTCTTTATAACAATGCTGCTGAGGTTTTTCCATCATTATGAGATTGTCGAAAAAATACGGGTTCTTTCATCTGCTTTAATATGTCAAAGTCTGTTGGATTTGCCAAACGTGTAATAAAACTATACGCATGAAACTCACTTAAACATCAGAGTGTCAAAAACTGGCATGCGAATAATACAAAATTTTTGAATTTTTCATTACAAATCCTTACTGCGTTAAATTTTCTAACATTATATAATATCTACAATAAATTTTATAATTTATAATTATAATAATTATATTATTGAAACATTATTTTTGTCGTTTTTTTTTTTTTTTTTTTTTGGAAAAATTTTGGTTTAATCTCTCTCTCTCTCTCTCTCTATCTATCTATCTATCTATCTATCTATCTATCTCTTTTTTATTTATTTCGGTTATAATTAAGCAGATGAGATTGAATGAATATTCTTGTAATTGTATTTGATGCTACTCGTTAGAAGGTTATTCACCTTTAATGTTATATATAAAACGAAACGTTCATAAATATATAGCTGTGTGTATATTGCTATATATGTATATATGTATATATACATATATATACATATATATACATATATAGCAATATGTATTAATTATTTATGTAAATTTAATAAAAATATCGTATGAAATGTACGCACATGATGTGATTGTTTATCACAGTATTAAATTTAAAAATATACATATATATATATATATATATATGTATATGTGTGTGTGTGTGTGTGTATTTTAAGTATTTTTACATCAAATATATAGAGAAAGGAAGAAAAAGAGAGAGGAGTGAGGCGTGGCGAGATACTGACCACCATTTCTCTAATTAAAGTGCCTTCACCCATTTCCAGTCAAGAAATGGTATTTCCTGTGACAGTTTTACTTGAGACAATAATGCAAAAAATCCTTGTTATTTCGACAAAGATTTTGTATCCTAAATATTTTCTTTTAAACAATTGAATATAGTTTTATGCGTCAAATCAGCATGTCAAGTAATTACTTTATTTTATTATACAGGGTGTCCCAAAGCACCCTTGACAACGCTTGTGAGCAGGTAGAGCGCAGCAAACTGAACAGAAAAGTCCTGTACGTGTACCATTTTTTTCTATAACGCTTAATAAAGGAGTTATTATTGAGTAAAGTCTGGCCAATCAGCGCCGACCTTTAGCCGCGCGCCTGGTAGTGTGCGTGAGCGCTCCGTCGCTACGGCGATACACACTAACAGACGGGCGGCTCACTGACGTGCGTCCGGCTAAAAGTCGGCGCTGATTGACCAGACTTTACTCAATAATAACTCCTTTATTAAGCGTTATAGAAAAAAATGGTACAGGACTTTTCTGTTCAGTTTACTGTGCTCTACGTGCTCACGAGCGTTGTCAAGGGTGCTTTGGGACACTCTGTATATGTATACATATAATAATTAAAGTAATAAAAAAGAAAGTTATGGCAATTGAAATATGTATATATTTAATATAACAAATATATATATATATATATATATATATACATATACATATCTGTTGACACGTCACAAAATAAAATAATTATAAATAAGAGAAAATTTTGATTAGGATAAAAAAATTTTCACATTTCAGTAGCGTTTTTACACGGCGACCCTATACAATTTACGAACTTACCAGCTCGTACTAGCTTGTACTTACGTAATCATGACTTTCATACGTTGCACTTTCATTTTCGAAAGTGTGATGTAATCATATTTAGATAGAAGAATTCGATGAAATCTAAAAACTATCGTCACATAAATATTATTGTGGAATTTTGAAAAATCTCAGTGTATTATGAAAGTTAAAGACAATTTATATATATATACGCAATTGTTAACTTAATATTGTTTGGAATATTGTATACGAGTATGTATGTAAAATTTTAGTGATTATGTCGCAAAGTTATCTTGCATTTTTGCGTTGCAGTGTTTTGATTGATTAATGAGACATTTACATGACCGACGGATGATCAAGGTAACATGTATTTTTCGAATACGAGTTGATTTGCGAGAATTTGCTGATTGCTGTGCATTTTCATCGATCTTGATTGCTCAACGAGAGATCGAGGGTATGGAGATTGTATTATAGCGGGCTCGGATATTTCAAGGCGAGATATAACCATTCTCCGACAGAGTCATAATTCGTGATTTGGCCTTACTCCAGTATCCTCGGTATTATAAACGAACAAACTTCGCCTGCAGCTGTCTCGTATTATCTTGCTCTCGCTCTCCTTTTATAATCTTATTTCCAAGTACAAATAAAAGGCGCAATGAACTAGTGGAATTGATCGTTAGTAGACAATCACAGTACTGAATCACGTATCAGTCTCTCGCGTATATTGTTATTTCTAATGTCTTTTTTTCTTTCTTTTTAAATTTATTCTTATTTGTCTTTTTCTGCCGTGTTCATCTTCTTCTTGGTTCATCTTCTCGGTAATATATTCGATTCACTTTAGTAGTATTACATATATATACTTCTTTATTTCCTTCACTTTCCCTCGTTATCTTTACCTTGTGGCACGATCTTTGGAATTCCGATACGTTCGACACGCATTGTTGATCACGATCACAGTAAGATGGGCATCATTTATTGGTTACAGAAAAAAATTCTGGTGTAATTTTTAACTTGCATTAGATACTCTCGCACGACTAGTCATCGCCTGTAAATTTAAATCATGGTGCGCGCTCGTTACAGCTGAATAATCTCGTGTAATATCTTTCTAACATAAGCAAGCAGGACATTGTATTTTATTAAATTATCGAATTATTGGTAATATTTTCGAAAGAATGTTATGGAAATTTATAATCGACGAAATTTATAATGGATGATTCTTAATACGAGATTGCGAGTTGAAAGAAAACAATGTGTTTGGAAAAATTATGTTTAAAGTTGACAATTCAACTTTTTCAATTTTATTTTGCAGAAAGGAGAGAGAGAGAGAGAGAGAAATTGCGTCTTAAATTTTCTTTTAAAATATACACAATTTATATTGAATCGCACACGATCTCTGCACATTTAATATTTCAGCTTTGATTTTTCAAGATATGCGACAAATGAAAAATTGTTTTTTTCTCTGCTTTTGGATCGTATGCAGAATGATAACTAGAGTGTTTCTTTTTGTAGATGTTCCAAGAATACGACGTTGAATAATCGCGATGAAAAGGAATCTGAAGAGTTTTATATTTCCTGAATGAAACTTTATAATTGGGGATCGGGACAGTCCCCTTTCATTGGAATAGCACTCTCTCGGTTTCATTTCTGCAGAGGTTCTCGTTCTCGTCGCAACTCGTTGCGCACGGGCTAGGTACACGGCATCGGGCATCGGGTATCGGGCACCAGGCACAGGGCACCGGGCACCGGCAGTACCAGGCAATACGGAAAAAGTTCCCGATTCCTGACGGTACCTCACCTCCTACCTTTTCACCGCCTTTATCGCCACCTGTATGGGTCGATCGAGAATGGGACCAGGACCGCAGGCTGATATGAGAGTTGGAAAAGGAATGGTAGTGAGAGTCCAAGTCAGGAGGGAAAGGATTCCGCGCAAGAGGCTGTCGCGAGATTGTCGAGTGCGCTCGCGCTCGCGTTCGCGCTGCCGCTTGAGCGCACTTGCGGGCACTTGGATGTGAAAGTAAGTCTGTCTTATACAGTTGACCGAAACTGCGTGTACCCGCTACCCGCGTTCTCGTCGGTTATCCGCGATCGACGTGCCATGCCATCGTAACGTATTTCGTCCGATCGTGGGACGCGCATACCTATATGACTCCGATCGAGCGATTCTACAACCGCTCTGTCTATACGCTGTAAAAAGCAAAAAAAAAAATCAGTGTTGATTATTTCGCGTCCGTATTATCTACGTGCGAGTTAACTTATCGCGATACATGCAATATTTCACAATCGCACGATGCAATCCTCAGCTTTCTTTACATTTATCCGTTACTTTCATTCATAATCAGTTTGAACAACAAATTGTTCGTCAATTGTATTTATCACTTTGCTCACATTTTTTTCAAGCATTCGATCAACGGTACGTGTGATATTGGCAACGAAGCTTTAAGAAGAAGCAGGAAAAGAAAATAAAAGCGGAAGAAAAAAAAATGGAAGACAAAAAGGCAGTAACGCGCAACAAGTGAGAGAAATGTACAACATTTTATACGGTGGATTGATTATCACTCCAATTGGATAATAAAAGAAAAAGAAAAAGAAAATTAGCTTTCAACTCTATACAGCAGAGTAAAGCTCTCTCAAGCAAATTGGACGTCTCTTTTCGCATACAAATGTTCCGGAGAGTGTTGTTTGGTACGTTTCTTTTTTTTCTATGACTCGATATTTGTTCAAACTATATGTATTAAAGTTTTCCGTCTTTGAGAGAAGAGTGCGTGGAAATGCATGCGAGTAATATCGGTAGTATCTTCCCGTTCTGCGAGTCTAGGAACTAGAACTTTGATCAAATCTCCGGACAAGTATGCGATTGGTGTGTACACGTGGATGTAACAATTGAAATATTCTGCGTTATTTTCGAGTGAAGAAATTGTTCCGACTGTGTGATGTATTGATATCTTTTCAAGATATTGTTTTATACATTTATCAAGTTGCATACGAGTTCGTGCAGAAAAGTTTAGGATATTTACATAAATTGTGTTTCTTGTTTGCATAGCATTATGCACAGACGCGTAAGATTCGTGATATAAATAAATTTTAATAAATCTCATTTTTACTTATATTATCGGCGACAAATTATGTGACAAATCAAAGTGATTGCGATAAAAGAAAGAAGAAATAGAGTGATTGTATAATACTATAAGAGAAATTATAAATATATATATTCATACACATACTCAACAAAGATAGACAGAAAGAAAAGAGAGAAGAAAAGTGGAAAGCGTATGTGCAAAGTCGCGCATATATCATCTGTTTATCAGATTTTCAATAAATTGACTTATTTATAAAGATTGGAATTTTTTGTGTATATACATTTACATATCTATTGTATGTAACTGTGTGTCTACGATTTCAAATGTAATTATTTGATCAAGATTTTTTTCATCGAAACTTAGAGTCTGCAAGACTTTGTAATTATGAGACAAACGGTGTTTGTTATCGTGTGCTGCTTTTTGGGCTTTGTCTTAGCGGGAAGTCCTAGATTACCACGAACATCCGCTGATCAGCGCAGCACACGTAGTGCAAGCCATAATAACACCGGCGCTACGCTACAGTCGTCTTCTCGCAATTTGCAACGAAATAGGTGAGAGATTGCATCCGTATTCTGATTTCCTGTTTTTTTGTTTTTTCTTTTAGAGGGTGGAGGTTAATGAACATTTTTTCTTATTCCGATTCATATGAAAAGTACAAGGTAAAGTGAAATAAGAAATGAGAATTTCTTATAGATGGGGGAACTGACAATTTTAAACTGTGCTCGGGGAGTTACGTAAATTATAGTCGATCATACTTTCAAAACTTGCCGATACTCCGCTTATACGGAACTTTCCACTTACAATTACTAGTTTGCGATTGCGTTTCACGCAATATTATCTTTATGCTAACGACATTAAATGTGCGATGTATCATCCGATAGGACGATTGAGCGCCGGTGGCAAATACGATATTTGGTTCGAACCGATAAACCTCTTTTTTTATTTAATTTAAAATCGAATGGGGAAAGTGAAAGGGGAGGATAGTTATATATAATAATAAAATAATTTTTCAATGATAAAATAATAACAATTATAATGATAAAATTATTAACGAGTATTCACTTATTAATCATTAAAAAAAAAAGAAAAAAAAGAAAACGACTGATGCTATCATTCGAGAGATTGCCTTTTATCGTTTTGATAGATGGACAATGTGATTTAGCGATAGTTTAAAATAAATAATACAATTAAATCCAAACACAATGAATATTGTTTGTTTTAGAGAACAGTACCTTTTTAACGTCTTTGAAGTAATAGTATCAACTTTGGAGTCCAAGTTGCAGCGAATCGAGAATTTAGACAAGGCAGTGGAACATTTGATGAGAAGAGTAGAAGCTTTAGATTCGCGCGTAAATGATAATATTGATAAAACAGACGCGGTTATTACTAAACTTAGAACATTAGATTTGAAACTTTTTAATGCATATCCTATTATGTCAACGGAAACTATTCATGCAGCGAGAATTACCGAAAATAAAAGCGGAGATCATACCGAAGATAGTAAGTGTGCGATATATATATCTTAACGAAGCTAATTGTACTTTATTGTTAGATAATTTCGATTTCTTTCTTTACGCACAATGAAGACCGTATTTGAATGAAAATATATTATTATTATATTATCAAATTCGAAAAATGCAACCAATTATTATATTTATATGTATAATATTGTAGCTCCATTGATACACGTAATTCAGCATGATCAAAACCGTCGGACTCCTGAAACGCTTGGCGAAAAATTAGTTTCCTTGGATCAAAAAGTTTCCGATATCGACCATAAGCTTGTTAATCTTAAAAATCAGCTCGACAATAATTTTTTACAAAATGACGACATAAATGCTGAAGCAAGTGAGAAAAAACCTGTCAGTATGAGTGTCATCGAAATCACTAAAGCTATGAGTAACGAAGTGATGAACCATATGACAATCGAAATTGAGAATCTTAGGCAAGCGACAGGTAGTATGGATCGAAAGCTTCAATTCCATATGAATTTGGTGTCGGATAATCTCGGAGCGTTATATAATATGGTTACCGATGTGCACGAAGCTATTGTCGAGAAAAATTACGGAAACAATCAACAAAATCATCTCAATTTAACAACGACCGAAGTCCCAACGAAGCAAAGTAAAATCGATCGTCTCGTCGAACAAATTTATCCAATGCTTACTGTTTCTGAAAAAATGGATCAAGTTTGGAATGTAGTGGTAAGTTTTGAATTAAAAAATTATATACCATAACATAGACGATTTTTGGTGGCACAGTGCAGAATACAATAATATAGTACATAAATAAAATACATATATTTCTCGAATTTGCGCATGATGATATTAATGTTAACGAATTGGATATACTTAGATAGGGACCAAGAGCTCGGTGGATGACTTGCTGCCAAAATCCGACAAATTACTTACTCAAACACAAAGGCAAGAAAGGGCAATTAGCGACATTCATGCTGATTTAAGATCAAAAACGAATAAGATTATTGAGAATCTTGAGGGCGTCGAGAGCCGTTTGAGGAAGCAAGAGGACGATGTGGCCACTTTAGCACAACGTCCGATTCCGGCTGAATTGTTACTAGACCCAACAATTGATCGGCTCGTTGAATATGATCCAAACAGGTAAAAATTCCAGTCTTAAACTTAAGCATTATAATAAACGTTTCAACATGAAGAGGATTTAGCAATGGACAGTATATTATTAACTAATATGGTAATATATAAATATGGTAATATACAGGGTGTCCCAGATCATTTGGGACAATACTCGTGTGCAGATAGAGTGGACCAAACTGAATCGAAAAGTCTTCTATCGTTTTTATCGACTCAGTTTGGTCCGCTCTATCTGCACACGAGTATTGTCCCAAATGATCTGGGACACCCTGTATAATAATATATATTGTTTTATAAAATAATGATTCTCCGTGGCACACAATTTGGCGAAAAAAAATTTTTTTTTTTCGTTAAAAGTATTTTTTAGCAAAAGAAGTATGACATTTTTATATATATATATAAAAAAATAGATTATACACACGCACACGCACACACACACACGCGCGCGCGCGCGCGCGCGCACACACGCACACGCACGCACACGCGCACCCCCCCCCCACATATATATATATATATGACATACATACAAAGAATTCTTATCATTCTTTATTCCAAGGTATATCAGCGTAACTGAAGATTTTGCAACGGAGTTGCCCGCAACATCTATGCTACCTACCGCTGCACCGCCCTTGTCAACTACACCATCTATATCGTCTGTCGCTTCACCCTCGAACAATCCTACTAATTCTACGACACCTATGACGGCAACATCTTCAAATATTGCTAGACCAAATAATAGGAATCGGGGGGTTATATTTCCGAGCGTTAAGAATAAACCGAGTTTAGCGAATTCTACCTTTACAAACGATGTATTAGTCAACTATAAGGATATCAAGGTATTTTATAATTCACCGCATATACACAACTCTTTCTTTACTCCAAGTCGTGCATTTTATCAGCCGATAGAATGTATGATATGTGTGAGAGGAAGAGATTTACAAAAAAATTTTACCGTTAAGAATTAGTGTATTACTGAAGACATTGGGGCTTTTAATTTTCTGCTATATTGTTAATTTCTAGGGTTATTCTTGCGTGGATTTATTAAACGCAGGAATGAGAGACAGTGGGATCTATTACTTGCAAATACGCGGTACGACATATTGGTTCCTCAAAGTTTATTGCGAACAGGAAATTGCTGATGGTGGTTGGACAGTGAGTTTATTATTGCATGATGTGGTATACGATCAAATAATATATTAATTGCGACATTAAATTGTATGAAAAGAAAGCACCTTTAAATTTTAATTTAAATTATATTGTCATTTATCGAGAAATCGAGAATGAGATATGCGCGAACACGCTCGCATGTATATGCCACATCCGACTCGCAATACTCGCATTCTTCATTTACATTACATACATACGATAAAAATGATTTTGATTTAAAGGTTATTCAGAGGAGGGATGATTTTGGAGAGCCAAGAGAGAATTTTAATAGGGATTGGGGAGACTATAAAAATGGATTTGGAGATCCTGCTAAGGAATTTTGGCTGGGCAATGAAAACATATACATGTTAACAAATAATGAAGATTACATACTTAGAGTTGAACTTGAAGACTTCGAAGGTAACAAAAGGTATACACATAAATTGTAGATTGATTATCATTTGATAATTTTTTACGACTGCTGAAGAATGCTAATAGTTTTACAATTTGCAATTTATGCAAATGTAAATGATGAAATTCATCAAATATATTATACAATTATAATTTGATTTTATTATAGGTATGCTCAATATTCGCATTTTAAGATTTATTCAGAGGGAGAGTATTATAAATTAGAGATAGATGGATATGAAGGAAATGCTGGAGATTCATTAAATGATCCTTGGTATGGATCAAACAATAGCCCATTCTCCACGTACAATAGGTAAATAACATATACACACATATATGTGTAACATATTTATTATATATAATGAAATACATCTTTGTATCTTACATCATCATAATGATGTCAGAGATATATGTATGTTTGCCGCAAAAATGCATTGGATTTAGATACATTTATGACTTTAGGGATAACGATAGATCATCTTTGAATTGTGCTTCGATGCTTAAAGGTGGTTGGTGGTGGAAATCTTGTGGACGTGGCTTGAATGGTCTTTATTTAAACGATCCTCAAGATCTTACTGCACGACAAGGTATGTTTATAACTTCCTAATACGAACATAATTAAAGAAAATTTTGTGCTGTGTTAATTCATAATGGAATGGAAATAAGCAAGGATTGTAAATAATGAAAGTTAAAGTTAAAATTTCTTCTGTATATTAGCAAATAAGAATCATGTTATGTTACTAAAGGTATTGTATGGTTCCGCTGGAGAGGTTGGGATTATACTCTAAAACGTGCATTAATGATGATCAAACCAAAAGGTCCAACAACAACGACGACAGCAATAATGATATAAATATTAGAACATGTGTAAGCTTTAAGATATTAACTTGATCGAAATTTCTTGCAATATTAAATAATAATCTTGCACATATAGTACTTAAATTATCTATTGCAAATACACAAACATTTATTATTTGGACATAAAAAAAGTATTTTCTTCTGAATTATTCTTCATTAATTTTACATCTACAATTTTTAGACAAGATTACGACTCAAACCTAATTTATAAAGTTATCTTCTCTCTTGAATTCCTCTTTTCCCTTCCTCTTTAAATGGTATAGAATTGCGTGGCGGTGGAGGATTGCATTTCAATTTGGCCCATCTTAAACTGTAATCGATGTAACCATCGTAGGAGTACTGCATTTGATTCTCTTCGGTTTGAAATAAAATGTTCCGCCATTCTGCTTGGAGGAAAATCGCGGCAATTCTGCAAACGCACTTGTAAATGACCAGGTAGCTACAAAATATAATAAACCAAAATTAATTACTGTGCCTCATCTTTTCATTCAAATTATTCATCTTTATTTCCATTCTTTTACTTGAACGTGATGAGAAAATAAAATGGCATTCCATAGAGGCAGCAATTTACTTAGTAGAATGGATCCGCATTCCAATAAAGCCTCTAATAAGCTCAAGAAATGCAAGTTGAGCATTTCAGATAGCTAGAAATAAAATTATCTCTTCATATATTCTTGTTTTAAACTTATTTCAAATGTATCAATTTTAGACAGGTTTAAGACCTTAAGTCAAATAATGTATATTTAAAATCAAACTTACAGCTTTCGAATAAGAAACGAGTTGCAAAATGCATGGCGTTATCTTGCCCCAAAATTCTAACAAAATATTCATAGTGATATTGTGACTCTCGCTGTTTGATGCGTTATTCTTTGACAGTTCTTCCAAATAGATCGTCCAAAGCTAGAACGAAACAAAATACTCTGTTAATGTAAACAATGTATGTGTGTATACGTGCGTGTGTGCGTGCGCGCTCGTATGTACATGTATATAAAAATGTGCAATTCCATCTATAACTTCAATAGTTACTTGACAAAGAATAAACGCGTGAAAGAGCGACGACATATGGAGAACCGACGTTTTCGATTGTTCTGGAAATCCTGAGAAAATCATTTGTATGTGATCGGCAATATGGCAAGACACTTCTTGAGGAATCGGTTGCGCCAACGGTATCGTTGAATGAATATGAGTATTCGTGTTGCCGGTATACATGGCAATGTGCGTTAACGATCCCAGCAGTAACCAGGATAAGAGTCTAATGTGGCCGATACAATCGACGTATTCACGAGCACTAAAACATTTATATGAATACACATCTAACCGATTTCCATAATTAAGATCAAGATAATTAAAACTTTGGATGAAACCTTACTGATATCAGAAAAAAGCAAACTAATAAAGAAAAGGAAAAGATCGATCGCAATAAAAATAAGTATACCCTTGTTGTATAGTAGATGGTGCGGTATATAACCATGGCAAGTAACGCGCGACAGCTCTGTTCTCTCTGTTGTTGCCTCTCGTAATTTCTAAAGCCACATATTGAGCAAGGCCACACTTTAATGTTCCACCTAACGTATCTTCATTCAATCCAGCTTGCATACCTTTGCTATAACTCTAAGAAAAGAAAAATCTTTCAAAAATAGCAAAGCACAAATTTTATAGAATTTTATTAATCATCAATGGATTTACATATGTATGCATACGCGTGCGCGCACACATTACCTTGATCTTGCTTAAAGTATGAAAATCAGCTAAAAATTCAAGGATATCCGATAACTGACTCTTTAAAGATTCAGACGCGTTCGTATTGTAGATTGGTGACATATCTGTTTGAATATTATTTTCCATCGCGATGATAGTATTAGGCAAGGATCCCCCAATATCCTGCATTATATATAGCAGAGCATTATATTAATATCTTTTGATTACATATATCTAAAGTTGAAAACTTTACGCGCACGTAAATATATAAATAAAAATTATAAAAGAATTATAAATATGATAATTAATTACCTGAAGCACAAATTGAAGAAGTAACAGAAAATTTGAATCCGGTATTGTAATTTTAAATTTAATAGCCTGAATTAATTCGAATACAATTGTCCTTCCAAAAAAGTGTTTATCACGATCACGAGTAAATCCTCTGTGACACAAGTAGCACAGGTCTGTTAAATAATTATACCGCAATGTTGAATTTTGTATGGCATAACTTAATACTTTGGAAAATGGTTCCAGCATTCCCTAAAAAAATGATTGGAATACAGTAATAATGTTCAATATAATACAATACATAGACCTGCCACATTAATTTTATTTAATTAATAATCAAGAGAAGATAACTTCAAGCTTTAAAATCCTTTGATTTTTAATTTCTTTGATATTTTAATGTACCTTTGATTGTTGAATCCCTGGTACCTTCAATATAGAAATTATAATTCGCAAGAGAGGAGTGATATCTTCAATGGAAGAAAGCATAAGAACGAGTCTTCGAAATAATCCATCAAACTGTGCCAACAACCCGCTCCACGTAGCTGCACCAGGACCTAACCCTGCTTCCAATGGTAGACAATCCAAGTAACACGCAATATTATACAATATTATCGGTAGCCGTTCCAATGGCAATGATTTTTTCATATTTAATGTCTGAAATCGAAATTTGTAACATGAAACAAGTATGTAATCTATTCTCTCATATATTTAAACGATTAAAAAGTGCGTTTACAGTATAAATTGTAAGTAATAATTGACAATTGTACAAAATAGACTTGCGCTTAATATGCAATCATCTCACGATGCTTCCTTACCTCGAGTAACAATTGCAGAGGCGCAATGGGATTTAATTCGTTAAAATCGACTAAAGCTTGAGCGACACTTCTAAAAAACTGCAATCTTGTCGTCTCTGAAAATTGGAAAAACAAAAAAAAAAAAAAAAATTATAGCAGACAAAAGGAAGAAATTGTTATTGTTGTTAATATTATTGTATTATTCAAAGTCTTCAGATATTGATGTTGAAATAGATGTATTGTAAAATCTTCTAATTGATAATTTTAATCGAAACTTTCTACAGCTTATATAAGCAATTAAATTGGAGCATTATTTTTAGAGCGATTCTTTTTAAAGCGGTTTACTAGTCACAATTTAACGAATGAGTGGCATTAAATCCTTACCGTTTAAATGAGTTTGAAACATTTGCATAAATACTCCATTAGGTGCTAATTGATGAAGAACGCATCTAAGAAATTGATGCGCTACGCTAACTGCACCACCTGGTAGATGCATATTTGTTTCGCTTTGCCAAGGATACATTGCATTAAGCCCAACTCTGTATAAGTGTGTTAGCATATTAGAGTATTAGAGCATCATTTTCCATGGGAGGAGGCGATAAAAACAACAACCTTACAAAAAATTGAAAAAAAAAAAAAAAAAAAAAAAAATTATAGCAGACAAAAGGAAGAAATTGTTATTGTTGTTAATATTATTGTATTATTCAAAGTCTTCAGATATTGATGTTGAAATAGATGTATTGTAAAATCTTCTAATTGATAATTTTAATCGAAACTTTCTACAGCTTATATAAGCAATTAAATTGGAGCATTATTTTTAGAGCGATTCTTTTTAAAGCGGTTTACTAGTCACAATTTAACGAATGAGTGGCATTAAATCCTTACCGTTTAAATGAGTTTGAAACATTTGCATAAATACTCCATTAGGTGCTAATTGATGAAGAACGCATCTAAGAAATTGATGCGCTACGCTAACTGCACCACCTGGTAGATGCATATTTGTTTCGCTTTGCCAAGGATACATTGCATTAAGCCCAACTCTGTATAAGTGTGTTAGCATATTAGAGTATTAGAGCATCATTTTCCATGGGAGGAGGCGATAAAAACAACAAAGATGGGATATAAGTGTGCATAAGTTGCAACTCTATAGTATATATATGTGTATATATACGATATATATAAACAATTTAGAACGAATTAGAATAAGCAATTAAGAGTCAGCGCAGTGTATAGGACGCAATTGATTTTATTAAAGAGAGAAAAACATATATAATAAAATTAGCGAACGTTTCGGTCTTTTTTTGAGACCATCCTTAGCGCAGACAAAAATAATAAATATCAATTTACATAGTGTTAAATAAAATTGGACATTAAAATCACAAACAAAGTTGGTAAATAGTTAAAAATAAAATAAAGTTGTCATTATTGTCAAGGGTCATTCGGCGTTTTACCCTTGACAATAATGATAGCTTTATTTTATTTTTAACTATTTTACCAACTTTATTTGCAAATTTTAATGTCTAATTTTATTTAATACTATGTAAATTGATATTTATTATTTTTGTCTGCGCTGATGATGGTCTCAAAAAAAGACCGAAACGTTCGCGAATTTTATTATATACGTTTTTCTCTCTTTAATAAAATCAATTGTGCCCTATACACTGCACTGGCTCCTAATTGTCTATTCTAATTCGTTCTAAATTGTTAATATTTCGGAGCCTGTCTATCGGTTTTAATTTTTGATACGATATATGTATACACACATATACATATTTTATAAATGAGAGCAACTTTAAGCTAACGAATGAACGCTCTAAGTTATGCATGAATCGGGAGCAGCGCGTGCACGGCGTGCGTGAGCGTGTACGCTATTTTACTATTTCGTTAAAAAATTAATGGCACAATTAATGGCATTTATTAGTTTTTATTGTATTTAAATATTTATGCAATTTGAACTCTCAGCTTAAACAAAATTCTAAAAATTCTTGGAATTATGATTCTTATAATTTTTGTATATGTCACTGATTATAATCTTTTGATATTTCAATTATTTAAATTTTTGCAGCTCGAAAATTATCGATATCGGTAATTAATCGCTGTCGATAATTAACCATCGATAACATCTATCGATGTCTGTAACACATAATACAAACTGTTCTTTCTAACATTGAAATTCTAAAATATTAGGAAAGTATTAGGAACACATAATGAGCAAAGAGGTGGTACGAATAAAAATTCGAAGTTTGCAATTCGCGATATTACAATCGGTAATTTATCGATAATTGGTAATAAACTGACGCCGGTAAATTATCAATCATTGGTAAAATGTCGGCGTCGGTATTGCAAATTACAACTTTGAATAT